TCAACGACAACAACTGAAACTCCAACTGAAACACCAACTACAACCACGACTACCACAACAACCACTACAACTACACCTACAACTACAGAATCAACAACAGCAACTGAAACACCAACTACAACTATGACAACTACCACAACAACCACTACTAGTACACCCACAACCACAGAATCAACAACAACCCCAACAACTACACCCACAACCACGGAATCAACAACAACTGAAACACCAACTACAACCACTACAACTACCACAACTACTACAACCACACCCACAACCACAGAATCAACGACAACAACTGAAACACCAACTACAACCACTACTACAACTACCACAACAACCACTACAACCACACCCACAACCACAGAATCAACGACAACTGAAACTACAACTGAAACACCAACTACAACCACTACTACAACTACCACAACAACCACTACAACCACACCCACAACCACAGAATCAACGACAACAACTGAAACTACAACTGAAACACCAACTACAACCACTACAACTACCACAACAACCACCACCACAACTACACCTACAACTACANCACCCACAACCACAGAATCAACGACAACTGAAACTACAACTGAAACACCAACTACAACCACTACAACTACCACAACTACTACAACCACACCCACAACCACAGAATCAACGACAACAACTGAAACTCCAACTGAAACACCAACTACAACCACGACTACCACAACAACCACTACAACTACACCTACAACTACAGAATCAACGACAGCAACTGAAACTACAACTACAACCACCACAACTACACCAACAACCACAGAATCAACAACAGAAACTGAATCTACAACATCTCCTACTACATCCATAACACCTGTAAGCACACCATGCACTTCACTCTCTCCATCCTCTTCACCCCCATGTGAGTGGTCACCATGGTATAGTAAACATGATCCAGTCACAGATAAAAATGACTTGGAAACATATGATAACATCAGAAGAAATGGTGGAAAGGTGTGTGACCGTCCTGAAAAAATTGAATGTAGATCAGTTGAAAATCCTGAGAAGGACTTCAAAGACTATGTAAAGGAACTTAAACAGATAGTTACTTGTAATGTAAGTATAGGTTTAGTCTGTAAAACAGCTGATCAACCTAATAGGAGAAAGTGTTTGAATTACGAGATAAGGGTCTGTTGTAGTGAACCTGTGGTACCAGACAACTGTACCACATTCACTACAACCTCTACAACTACATCTACGCCTACAACCACAGAATCAACAACAGCAACTGAAACAGCAACTACCACCACTACAACTACACCTACAACTACAGAATCAACAACAACAACTGAAACTACAACTGAAACACCAACTACAACCACTACAACTACCACAACTACTACAACCACACCCACAACCACAGAATCAACAACAACTGAAACACCAACTACAACCAGCACCACAACCACTACTACACCCACAACCATAGAATCTACAACTGAAACACCAACTACAACCACTACAACTACCACAACAACCACTACAACTACACCTACAACTACAGAATCGACAACAACAACTGAAACACCAACTACAACCACTACTACAACTACCAC